TGTTTTTTTTTTTTTTTTTTTTTTTTTTTTTTTTTTTGGTACCAGGGATTGAACTCGGGTCCTCATACTTGCGAGGCAGGTGGCAGAACCACTGAGCTAAATCCCTGGCCCGAGTTTCTTAATGATAGTATGTGTCTCCATTGCTGACTAAGGCACAGTACATAATCTGTGATGGAATTATGAATAAGGCAGACATTTGCGCTCATAGTCAAAAAGCAGAGTTCTGCTGGGTGTGGTGGCGCACTCCTGTGATCCCAGCACTTGGAAGGCTGAGGCAGGAGGATCTCTGTGAGTGCAAAGTTACCTAGTGACACCCTGTCTCAAAAAAAAAAAAGCAGACTTCTCTTCTAGGGGAGGAGAAGTAAGACCAGTCTGTGTCCCTCCCCACTTTGGGATTGAACCCAGTACTAAGCACATACCCCACCAGAGTTACACCCCCAGCCCAACTGAAAACAGAGTAAATGTTTTTAGTAAGAAGTATTTAGTGCAACTTGATCTTTTTTTTTTTTTTGGTACCAGGAATTGAACTCAAGACCTGCACTTGCAAGGCAGAAGGTGGCACCAGAGCTAAATCCCCAGCCCTTGATCTTATATTTAATAATTGAAATCTAAGGCTGGGGATTTAGCTCAGTAACTGCACCATGCCTGCCTTGCAGGTGCAAGGTCCTGAGTTCGATTGTGGCACTAAATAAATAAATAAATAAATTGAAATAATTTGAGATCTGAGTTGTCTCTTTTTATTCTTTTGTATATAAACTACTACAGTTAATGTAAAAGAGAGTGTAAACTGCCTGGAGTTTGCCTTGGAGGCTGAGTTAAGGGACCTAGGCCCTGCAGTGAGCACTTCTGGAAGGGCACCCTGTGTGTGGCCCCCGGCAAGCCAGACGGGTAGGCGTGCTCCAGGCCTGAGTGTGTTTCTGGGGGCCTTCACAGGGCGTGATGCACACAGTCTGTTTCCACCAGACAGCAAAGGCAAAGATGACTGTCCCTCGCCTTCTCCTGCCAGGTTATATAAAGAACACCGAGAAGCTGCACTATGGCAAAGAGCATCAGTATAAGCTGACCGTCACGGCCTACGACTGTGGGAAGAAGAGGGCTACAGAAGACGTTCTGGTGAAGATCAGCATCAAGCCTACCTGCACGCCTGGGTGGCAAGGTGAGCTGCCCTCTCCTGCTCTCACACCTCTTCTGACAATTTAGAGCCACAGGAACCTGACAGTAAGTTTTCCTCCTCTCCTCCCATGCTGCCCTGTGGATGACACAGGCTGGAGCAACAGGGTTGAGTACGAGCCCGGCACCGGCGCTCTGGCTGTCTTCCCGAACATCCACCTGGAGACGTGTGATGAGCCAGTGGCCTCGGTGCAGGCCACAGTGGAGCTGGAGACCAGCCACATCGGGAAGGGCTGCGATCGGGACACCTACTCTGAGAAGTCCCTGCACAGGCTCTGCGGTAAGAGGCCGGGCGTCCTGAGCTCTCGGTCTTTGGGGCAGGGGCTGCGCCATGGACCCCGACAGGCACTGACCCTGGCTGATTTTGACCCGGACGGGGCTTGGGGAGCACATCACCCACTAAAAGTCTATACGGAATGTTACAAGTGTGTGTACCTTCAGAACCACTGATTTGGGAGAAAGCAGCATACGTTGCGAGTAATCCAAATGGGGAGGATTTAAGAATAAGCCGCCCCAGCTGTGGCTGCCTGGGAGATGGAGGCAGGAGGACTGCGTGGGCCTGGGGTTTGAGACCAGCCTGAGCAAATGGTGAGAGTGCATCTCAGAAGAGGGAGAAAGTTGAGTGAGTTTTATATGAATGTTCATTTGAAGACTAAAGAAAAAAATACAGGCAGTGCAGTAGCTTTTGGTAAACACCAATCAGAGAATCAGCCTAGGGTACCCACATCTACCTGGAGGCTCCGCTGACTTTCACATCACAGACTACACTCTGCGGAGAAGCTGAGACAAGGCCTGGGAGACTGACCGGAGGGTGAGCTTTGCTCTTTCCTATCCACTGTGCATCTTTCAGGTCTGTCTAGATGAAGAGAAATGAGGTCCAGATGCCTCTAGTGGGAGGTGCTAGGGGCAGAATGTAAAGTGGAATGAGGTCAGCCGTAAGACACGAAGACCCTCAATGACCCCTTGTGATGGGCAGGGGCCTTTGTGTTTCAGGGGCACTGGGCAGCGGCTCTGCAGGGAGCCCGCTCCTAAACTGACCCACTGTTCACCAGCCAAATAAAGCCTGTAGGGTTAGGCACATGCTTTATTTTCTTCCTTCCTTGCCCTTCTTTCCGTCCTCCTCCTCCTCCTCCTTCTCTTCTTCTCTTCTTCTCCTCCTCTCTCTCCCTTTCTCTTTCTCTTTCTCTCCCCCCGACCTCCCCTTGTCTCACTACGTAGGTCAGGCTAGCCTTGAAATCATTATGGAGCCCAGACTGGCCTCTGGCCTTGAATCTTTAACTCCAGGTGGTCCTCCTGCCTCAGCCTTCTCAGTGTTGGTTTACTGGTGTGTGCCACCATACCTGGCTGACACTTGGCTTTCTTAATAATTAAAACTGGCTGGTGGGCAACTGAGAGGAGGAGGACCCTCTCTGCTGTGATGGTCACCCAGTACTGAGGACCTCAGGTGTGTTATGCTGCAAGACCGCACTCACATAATGTGAGTTTATGGGTAAGGATGCTTCTTGTTTTGAAGTGTGCATGTAAGTATAATGTAGAAAACTGACTTCTTCATAAGGCCACTATTTCTTTGAATAGTAAATGAAGATTTTCTCAGAACAGCTGATGGGAAGAATGGAGCATTCAGTCTTTGAGCTCTGACATGTGCTATATGCCAGGGGCTTCTGAGTGGTAATCTTCCAGCAGGCCTCCGGAGTAGGTGGTGCTGACCTTGTTCGCACAGAGGCTCTGATGCCAGGGAGGTGAAGTACCCAGGCCGCAGTCAGAGAAGTAGCGGGGCTGGGATTTGGGCCAAGGTCTCATGTCTCTCAAAAGACCAGGCTGGTGCAGCCAGATGGCACTGCTCCCAGGGCACAGAAGCCAAGGACCCTGAAACTAACTGAGAGAGCTTGCAGAGTCTCTTTTTAGGGGACAAATTCAAAAGAAAATTTGGGGGCTAGCTCAGTGGTAGCATTTCTGCTTAGCATGCCTGAGGCCCTGGATTGATCCGAGCAGCAAAAAGAAAATTTGATCTTGACAATATATAATGACACTTGTCAAAATTTTTTTCCTACTCTTTGACTTAGTAAATCCATTTCTCGGGAATGTTTGCTAGAAGCATAAGCATGGGGACAAAGCCCATTGACGAGAGGTTGATAAGTGGAGAGAGGAAGAACAGCCCCAGGGTCCCCCAGAGAGACCAGTGTGGTGCATCACAGCATAGCTGTGCCCTGAGGGGTGAGGCGGGCCTAGCAGTCCTGCTGTGCAACAGCAGAATGCTGTGTAGATACAAATACCTTGCATGACTACATAGTCAGAGAGCAGAAGGGTTGACCCCCACATGGTGGATATTTGGGTGGGATTTCAAGAAATACTTGGGTTTTTTTGGTGGGGGGTTTACTGGGGCTCGAACTTCGGACCTTGTGCTTGAGAGGCATGCGGCAGAACCACTGAGCTAAATCCCCGGCCCTCATTCTTCTTCCTGTAAAAAACCAAGTGTGCTTATTATGTATCATATTTTTAATCTTTAAAACTTCTTATTTTTAAGGAAAAATAAGCTCAAATTAGCACATTGTCTAACCATAAGATAGGCACATGGCTCTGAGCCACTCCTGAGCTCTGCATTCTCTGCGGAATTGACCTTCAGCACTGTCGCTGTGGTTTCAGGGGCTGCGGCAGGCACTGCCGAGCTGCTTCCCTCCCCCAGCAGCTCCTTGAACTGGACCATCGGCCTCCCCACCGACAATGGCCACGACAGCGACCAGGTGTTTGAGTTCAATGGCACTCAGGCAGTGAGGATCCCTGATGGTGTTGTTTCCGTCAGCCCTAAGGAGCCCTTTACGATTTCCCTGTGGATGAGGCACGGGTCTTTCGGCAGGAGGAAGGAGACGATTCTTTGCAGTTCGGACAAGACAGGTAGGTTGTGCTTCTGCAGACAAGGGTCTTCAGGACCCAGAGGGTATGCAGGAGAGGCAGGTGACTTCACCTACCCACAGGGCCTCAAGAAGCTGCTTAGTCCAGATGTTGTCCAGATTGGGCTGGACTTGCTTTGCTCTGGAGACAGATGGTGTCCGGGATTGACCAACAGCTGTCAGGGGCCTGGCACTCAGTAGAACCCAAGCGTATTTGTTCTTAGATGCTGCACGGCCCAACTGGAGGGTTCACTTTAGCAGGTGAAATTGTATCTTCGAGATCCATGAAGGAAAGAGCTCGGCTTCTCTCCCTTGGCTCCAAGTTGGCTGCTCATTGGCAGGACCTCTCTTTGCAGATATGAACCGGCATCACTACTCACTCTACCTCCATGGGTGCAAGCTGATTTTCCTCCTCCGTCAGGACCCTTCCGAGGAGAAGAAATACAAACCTGCAGAATTCCACTGGAAGCTGAGTCAGGTGAGCAGATGCAGAGCTCACCAGCTGTGATCATATGAGGGAGATGAGCTGGTTACTCCAGCCTTGCCCACAGCTGGCCAGCTGTACGCTCCATGTATGTTTACAATTTGTGGCTTCTGTGTCTGGGTAACAGGATAGCAGATTAAATCCATCCATCTGCTTTCCTCTAAAAGCCTGAGGGTTTCTTATGTATGTTATTTTATATATAAAATATTGATACAGAAGTTATGTATTTTAAATTATAAACTGTTGCAACTGAAATAAGGAGCATTTGCCTAAAAGTTGGAATTGAGATCTTTGTGTTTGTTTATTTATTCATTCATTATTTAAGGCTGTGTCTATGGATGGTGCCAAGGAGCCCTGGGTGACTCAGCAGTGCATGGGCACCACAGGGTGTTCTGCATTTTCAAGGGACCAGTAGTCTTGGCATCTTTCAGATGCCTCACAAACCACTAGCTTGAGGGAGTTGCAGTTGACACTGATTGCATAACATTCCTTTCGATGATGTCATGTCTTTGCAATGCTAAATCTCCAGCACTTGCTATGATAAAAAGCAAATATCACATAAAAAATGTATTATCTCCTTTTAAAAAATATGTCGTAGGGCCGGGGATTTAGCTCAGTGGTTCTGCTGACTGCCTCACAAGCAAAAGGACCCGAGGTCGATCCCTGTACCAAAAAAAATGTGTCATAGGAAATGAAGGGTGCTGTAAATTGAGAAAGGCTACTGATTAGACTCAGAACAAATCATTTCTTCTCTCTTTTTTCTTCTTTTAAGACAGGGTCTCAGTTATTCACCCAGGCTGAGCTTGAACTCATGATCCTCCTGCCTCACTTCCTGAGTGCTGGGATCACAGGCCTGTACTATCATGCTTGGCTTCATTTCTTCTCTTGATTTAGAATTTGAGGTAATAAGGCATATCGTGGCCTTAGCTTGGCTTTATTTGGCTTTTGGAGTTAAAGAGCAAGAGTTAGCATTGTTATATGTATCTGTGTTTGCTAAAACATAACATTATCTAAAGTAGTTACAAGGTGGATAAAAAACTAAGAGCACAAAGGAGAAAGGAAGAGTATGTGAGGTTGGAAAGATGAGTGTCCGGTTGGTTTTTTCATCTCTTACTGGTGATTTTTATGTAAATATTTATTTTTCAGAGACTCTTAACATAATTTTTCATGAGAAACTATAGAGATTTATAGTTTTAACTGGGGCATGGTGTCACACACCTGTAATCCCAGCACTCTGGAGCCTAAGGCAGGGGTGGGGATCAAAAGTTTGAGACTAAGTGGCTGGAGATGTAGCTCAGGGGCACCTCACCTGCCTTGCAAGTGCAAGGTCCTGAGTTTGATCCCCAGTATGGAGGGGAAAAGTAAATTTGAGTCCAGCCGAGGTTATGTGGTGATTTTAAGACCAGCCTTGCACTATGTGTCATCACCCTGTCTCAAAAACAAACAAAAGAAAGATAAGTCTGGAAAAACTGTGTACAGCGCAGACACTGTAGATAAACTTCTGTTATAGTGACCATAGTCTGTTAAATAGTTCCTGATGATTGCATATTTTTCAAAACTTTAGGATGGAAGTTTTTTCACATATATACAGGTTGACAGATTGGTGTAAAGAAGAACCTTGTACATCTTTTGTCCAGCTTTAGTCTTGAACAATTTATTTCATCATTATTCCCATTCATTTTTCTTTGCTTGTTGTGTTTTGAGTTTTTGAGACAGGGTCTTGTGGTGTAGTTCAGTCTGGCTTTGAACTCACTATGTAGCCAGGCTGGTCTCAAATTGGTGGCACCTCCCCTGCCTCAGCCTCCCAATTGCTGGGATTATAGGTGTGCGCCACCACACCTGGTATTATTTCCACTTTTTTTTTTTTTTCCTCTCTCATTGAGTTTATTGGTACATTTTAGGTATATGGTACAGTTACAGTCACCATTGGGATCTTGTACCTTTAGATGACAGGTCTTGGTTCTCATTTTTTGCCTTTGTCCTTGCCCTCCCTTCACCCCTTCCTACCCTCCTCATTTACAAACACTTTATTTCCACTTTTTCATTTTCTCATATTTTTTTCTTTTCCCTTATTACCTTTCCCCTACCCTTCCCACTTTCCCTACACCTTTAGCCCTTTTCTTCCTATTTCACATTGTCAGTTATCTCATTAGGATCTTATGTACTATTAGCGTTTTTCACACCAGAGAAACTATTCGGTATTTACACATGTGTGATTTATTTATTTCACTTAGGAGTATATCCTCAATATGTATCCATTTTCCTATGAATGAATCTAATTTCTCATTCTTTATGGCTGAATAATATTCCATTTTATAGAAAAACCACATCTTTATCCAGTCTCCACCTGATGGGCAAATGGGCTGTTTCCAAGTTTTAGCTATTACAAACTGTGCCGCTATAAACATAGGTGCACATATATCACTGTGACATGATTCTTTTAATTCTTTTGGAAAAATACCCAGCAGAGGGATGGCTGGGTCAAATGAAACCTCTAGTCCCAGCTCTTTGAGGTATCTCCATATTGATTTCTATAGTGGTTGCACCAGTCTGCACTCCCACCAACAATGGAGAAGGATTCCTTTCTCCCCACAACCCCACCAACATTTGTTATTGCTTGATTTCTTGATGGCAGCCATTCTTTGTGGGGTGAGGTGGAATCTCAGTGTTGTTTTCATCTGCATCTCTCTAATGACCAGTGATGTGGAACATTTTTTCATATATTTACTTGCTTTTTTTTTTACTTCTTTGAGAAATGTCTGTTCATTTCAGATGCCCATTTTTGAATCAGGTCTTTATATTTGGGTGGGCTGATTGTTTTGACTTCTTTATGTATTCTAGATAAGAGTCCTTTGTCTTATTCCCACTCTTTATTAGTATTTTCTGTTGCCATGTCCCCAAAACTGACTCAGTTTTCAAGAAATCCTGGGTAGAGCATTTTGTTCTCTGTAGACACGCATCTTTCATTGTGAAGCTCGAGAGCATGATCACAATACTTTTTGCACATCTTAAAAAATTTGCAGGAACCAGGGTAATTTGTCAGTGGTAAAGTGTGTGCTTGGCATGCATGAGGCCCTGGGTTCAGTCTTCAACAAAATAAAAAAGAAATCTTCATATTATGAGATATCCAATAAATGTTCAGATTTCGAATTGCATCATAAATGATTTTGTTTCTACAGTTTGTTTAGGAAGCAAATACATTGCAGTGGGCCGATACACGTCCATGATGCCTGTTGGCAGTGGGAAAGTTAAATTTGCTGTGCCGCTTAAGCTGTATGTTCTTGTTTATTTTTATATCTGTGGCTAGTTTATTTCTTGGTGCTGGGGATTGAACTGAGGGCTTTGTGCATGCCAAGCATATACTCTGCTGCTGAACCCCACCCTCTGGCTCAAGGATCTTGGGGAGAAAGAACATTTGTGTTCTGTCATATTCCGTATTCTGAGATTGAGGGTGCTTTGAGCCCTGATGTGGAAGAGGAACGGCCCCCGGCAGCCCAACCCAGCATTGCCTGTAGGGGGAGTGGTGCTACTGGCAATCGTGTGGCTCCGTGTGCGGCCTCAGCCCTGATGAGGGCCCTCGGGTCGAAGTGCCCCTGGCTGTGATAGTCTGGTTTTGTCCCTTTTTGGTGAGGTGTGTTTGCAGAACACTTTGTTGTAAGATTTTAAGCAGATCCTCTTCTTCCTGAGAAGACATAATTATGTGGGTGACTCGTTTCCTGTGTCCTGTTGTCTTGCTCTCCTTGTCATCACATCTTCAGGTGGCGGGGGCAGGCTGATGTTTGATGCTTCCTTTGCAGGTCTGTGACGAGGAATGGCACCACTTTGTCCTCAATGTGGAGCTCCCGAGTGTGACTCTGTACGTGGACGGCATTTCCCATGAGCCCTTCTCTGTGACCGAGGATTACCCACTCCATCCATCCAGGATAGACACCCAGCTCGTGGTTGGGGCTTGCTGGCAAGGTAACACTCTGTCCCCAGCTCCCAGGTGGCGGGAACTGATGCCTCGCTCCTGTATTGGTGGGGACAGGCCCTTCGCAGTGTCTACATCCTTTACCGTCTGTTACCTTTTCATCCTTTGCCTGTGCTTCCCTTTCGGGGACACTGCTAATGCCGTACCGTAGCACAACCCAGGACACCGTCACCCTTCCTGTGAACCCGGGAGCAGCGAAATGAGGAGGGTGCACCTGGGGATCTGGTTTAGAAATGAGTCATTTATTGGACCTTGTGAGGACAGAGAGGCAGCAGTGACCAGTGAGGCACAAAGATAGAAAGCACTTAAAAGTATGTGTGGGCCTGCAGGGCTCTCCCTGGTGCAGTGTCTGGCAAGCTGGTAGGAAGCCAGTAAGAGCCATCAGCGTGTGCTGCACCAGGAGAGGACGCGGGGAATCTCCACTGAAAGACTTGAGGCTGTGGTGTGGTCAGCACACCTGCGCTACAGTACCAGTTGCTCATGCACACCGAGTGGCAGGCCATGTGCCCACGCTTCAGGTGCCAGCCCAGAGAAGGAGTGAGCCCCATGAGCCAGGTGACAAGCTGGGATTTGCCGGGGAAAGCTGTGTGCTTGGCTGAGCTCTCCACCCCAGACCAGGAGTGTAGACGTTTCCTGTGTGGGCAGCCTGTGTTCCACCTCAAGTGTGACACATGGGACGTGGGTGCCAGTGAGACCTGGAAATGGTCCCACACTCGCAGCACTGAGAACCAGTGGTGCCTGCAGTGTTCTGCTCACGCACAGGCTTTACTGGATGGGCCAGTAATGGCCATAATGCCAGAGATTCGAGGGCTTCAAGACAGTGTGTGGGGAGGTAGGAAAGTGCCAGCGAGTTCTTTGGTGACAAGAGTTGCAGTTTACCCTATCACTGCTGTGGTTTGTAGCCTATGTTTATATCCAAAGGAAAGGCTAACACTGTGCCAAATACCCATTAGTTCTCACTTTCGCCCTTTTTTTTTTTTTTTTTTTTTTGGTGTTTTGGTTTTTTGAGACAGGGTCTCACTGTGTAGTTGAGACTGACCTGGAACTCACTATGTAGCTCAGGCTGGTCTCGAACTCACAGTGATCCTCCTGCCTCAGCCTCCCAAGTTCTGGGATTACAGGCATGCGCCACCATGCCAGGCCTTTTTTTTTTTTTTGAGACAGGGTATCGCTGTGTGGTTCAGTCAGGCCTTGAAATCACAGCAATCCTCCTGCCTCAGCTTCCCGAGTGCTAGGATTTCAGGCGAGCACCATCATGCCGGCTTTCTCTCATTACTTTTTGCCTCAGCTGCCTCAGCGTCTTCAGCCAAAAAAAGTTTGCCTGAATTTCCCAAACCAAATAGCACAGATTCTTTTTTTATTTTCCATTGAGTTTATCGGTACATTTTAGGTATACAGTACAGTTATATTCATCATTGGAATCTTGTACCTTTACGTGATGCATCTTGGTTTTTCCCCATTCCCCTCCCCTTCCTTCACTTCCCACCCTTCCCTATTTACAAAGACTTTGTTTCTATTTTTTCCTTTTTTCATATTTTTTTCTTTTCCCTTCCCTCCCCCTTCCCCTGTTCCTTTAGCCCTTTTCTAATTCACATCATCAGTTATACATTTTGATCCTTATTTGCACTTTTAGCTTTCCATACCAGAGAAACAATTCAGTATTTCCATATGTAGCACAGATTCTTTTAACATTTGGTTTGCGAGGAGGAGCTCCCTTTTCCTTTCAGTGGATGTAAAACCACTGCCCATGCTGGTTCCCCATGGAGGAGGAGGAGGGGGAGGGGAGGGGGGAGGGAGAGGAGGAGGAGGAGCCACATGCAGGCCATGTCGTCTGGGGACAACATCCCCTGGTGCTGCCACTGCACTGCTCCGAGCCTGACTGCTTGCAGCGCTAGCAGCTGTGGTGGTCTGTGAGCTTAGCCTGTGCTGGTGAAAGTGCCTTCAGATGGCTTCTTGTCTCTGTCACTTGAAGCCCAGATGCAAATCTGTTTTTAGCGTCGTAAAAATACAGACTGACGTGTGGCCGTAGAGTGGGCTGGGACCCTGTGTGCGCTCTGTCCCATTTTGCCTAGGCAGTGTCTTCCTACCTGGAAGTCAGGCGGTGTGGACGCAGGGTGGGTGTCTTTCTGTCCAGGACTCACCACAGTCAGCGCTGAGCTGCTGGGGTGTCTGCTCCTGCCTGGCTGAGGTGTCGGTACACGGTATTGCTGCTCTTACTCATCTGTTTGAGTCTAATTTGCATTCAGCAGTGAGAGTATGGGGAGATGAAATAAAAGAAAAATACAAAAGCATGAGAGTGGGATTCTCACTTCTGGGAAAAGGTGATCCATCTTGCCTGGCATGGAACATGTCCCTGAGAGGGACAAGAAGGGAATTTTCTCTGTGGGTTTTATATTCGGTTGGTTCACAAGTGATTTTCACAGTCCAATTTGAAGCCCCTAACCTGTTGGTCCTTTTCTGTTGTCTTTGTCTTGCTTTTCCACAGAGTATTCAGGAGTTGAAAATGACAATGACACTGAACCTGTGACTGTGGCCTCCGCAGGTTGCTGGATTTTCCCCCTGTAGTTGACTATTGTGTTTCATTTAATGATGAGACATTGATTCATTCCATATGTCGCATGACGCGCTGAGCTGCACCTGGGCCCCACACCCTTCCAGCTGCTTCCCTGCATCACTCCTCCACTGCCTCACGGGGTTCCCTTCCTGCCCGTGCTGCCTCACTGCAGTGAGGGCGGGAGACTCATCCACGCGGTACTCGCGTGGGCTTTCCGTTCCTCACCAAGCCCGCCTGTCTACTGCACTGGCTCTCTGCTGATGTCTCTCAGGCCAGCTTGAGAGCCATCATGGTGCTCCTGGGCTGCACCAAGGGACAGGAAATGACCCGTTTCCTGTACTTTGTCATACTGAATTCTAAACAGACGTTTCTCAGCAGTCTTGACCCTTGGTGATGGCTTGCCATGGCTGGTGCTCTGACAGAATAGAACACATGGCAGAAGCTGTGTCCTCCTCCCTCAGCAGCGCAGGCTTTCATTTGATACTCCTCCGCGTAGTCTCAAGGGCCATCATGTTCTGGGTTTTAGTTTCCTTCAGCAAATCTTCTCTTCCTGGTTATCCTTGGAGGTAGGAGACACGAACGCTGGGTCATGACCAGACAGCTCCCCCTAGAAGAATTTACAGCATCTCTGTCCCCTCTGCCGTGCTTGTGTGGCTGCGTCCCCAAGCGTGTGTTCCCAGGGTTAGTGCGGCCGCAGTGTGCCCAGCCGCCTGCAAGGCAGTGGAGAGCTGGTGTTCGAAGGCAGCGCGACTGTGTACTGTGGTGACCACTGTTGTCGGCCACTGGCTCCAGGGCGTGGCTGGATGTGCAGGGACTCTCACGGGACCTCCTGGCTGTGTGAGGGACCCCAGCCCCTCCCTTGTCCAGGCCATGTGCATGATCATCAGCGATTTAATGTCTTCATTGCGCTTCCATGTAGATTGCAAGGCTAACAGGATGTGGTCTGAACTAACCCGCATGCCCATCCATCGAGCTGCACCTCCGGTAACACTGCATTGAAAACGAGCCGGGAGCACTGGGCTGCACCCCTCACTTCTCCTTTCTCCCCTGTCCCAAAGGTGGTGACCTGCACATGACCCAGTTTTTCCGAGGGAACCTGGCCGGCCTAACCGTCCGCACCGGGAAACTGGCAGACAAGAAGGTGATCGACTGTCTGTACACCTGCAAAGAGGGGCTGGACCTTCAGATCCCCAAGGACAGCAGAGGCGTGCAGGTAACTTCACTGTCCACCTGCCCTGGGCTTGGGCACCTGGACCGCAGATGGGGAGGCTGAATGGGGATGCGTGACATTCACACCTGAGATGTCATTGTCATGTAAGAGAGGGTCTCATTCACTGCAGTTGCAGTAGCTTTTCTTAGCTAGTCATGGTGGAAGGCTGAGGCAGGAGGATCACAAGTTCAAGCCCAGCCTGGGCAACTTAATGACTTAGTGAGATCCTGTCTCAAAATTTAAAAATTGGGGCTGGGGATTTTAGCTCAGTGGTCCTGGCACGTGCCTTGTAAGCACAAGGGCCCGAGTTTGATTCCCTGGTACCAAAATAAATAAATAAATAACATAGGCCAAAAAAAATTGTTGCAAAGGCCATGGGTTTGATCTCCAGTATTCCAGAAGAAGAAAACTTTTTTCAGTTCACCAATTCAGATCAAATCCAGACTCTTGGCAAGTGTGGTGGCACATACACGCCTATAATCTTAGCACTTGGGAAGCTGAGGCAGGATTGCCATGAGTTCAAGGCCAGCCTGGACTACATGGTAAGACCCTGTCTCAAAAAAACACCAACAAAAGAACCTCAAAAAACAAAACAAAACAAAAGTCCATCCAGATCCTTCTGTGTCAAAGCCTCAGCAGCTTCAGCACCTCACAGCAAGAGCCTTGTCCCTTCCCCTCATGTCTGTGTAGCTGCAGGTCCGTCCCAGTCCCAGCCAGTCAGTGTTGACCCTGGAGGGGGATGACATTGGGGAGCTAGACAAGGCCATGCAACACCTGTCCTACCTGAACTCACGGCAGTTCCCCACACCGGGCATCCGGAGACTCAGAATCACCAGCATGGTCAGGTAAGTCCTGAGCACTACAGTTGGCTTCTGTCCACCCAGGGACGCTGGAGGAGAACTGTGTGCGTTTGGGTTTTTAAAAGCTCGCCTCCCTCGGTAAGGAAGGGTGGAGGGGAGCTTGGGCTCTGGCGTTGCCTGAGTCTGGGGACGTGCGCCTCTGCAGGGCCTCTGCCATCTGTCCCCTCCAGGTGTGTGGAACCCTTTACCGTGAGCTGATGTGGCTCTCACAGATGCCCCCCTTCCTTGCTGGCAGGTGCTTTAATGAGGCCGCCACCTGCATGGAGGTCCCCCCAGTCGAGGGCTATGTGATGGTTTTACAGCCCGAAGAGCCCAAGATCAGCCTCAGCGGTGTCCACCATTTCGCCCGTGCGGCTTCTGAATTCGAGAGCTCTGAAGGGGTCTTCCTCTTCCCTGAGCTGCGGATCATCAGCACCATCACGAGGGAGGTGGAGCCCGAGGGGGACGGGGCCGAGGACCCCACAGGTAACAGCCACTAGCAGAGCTCTCCCCTCAGCTCCACTGGAAACCCCAGCCTCTTTCCCTGTGGGGTTTGGGAGCCGAGTATGGCGTTGTGTGCATGGTGGGGCTGCTTCCAGAGCCTGTCCCGTTGGGCTGGCATCACCATGGGCTCTGGGTCCTATCACCTTTCTCTGGCTGACTTCAGGTTTTGTGGGTCAGCCCACAAGAGGACAGGGTCCCCACCCTCCTCACTGGGACTCAGTAAGTCCTCCTGATTGTTCACCAACTGATTATTTAGTCCAGGGCCACGATCTGCAAACCCCAATTCTTGAAGCCAGCACTTCCTTACCATGGTTCGGCAAGGGCCATGCAAGCTGGTGCACATGGCGGCCAGTGCATGAGAGGCACTCAAGGGTGCTGTTCAAACAACACCACTCAGGCTACTCAGGGTGAAGCCTCGCTGACCCCCAGCCTCACAGCCTCTGTGGCTTCTGCAGTCCAAGAGTCCCTGGTGTCCGAGGAGGTGGTGCATGACCTGGATACCTGCGAGGTCACAGTGGAGGGAGAGGAGCTGAACCCGGAGCAGGAGAGCCTGGAGGTGGACGAGGCCCGGCTGCAGCAGAAGGGCCTGGAAGTGAGCCACTCAGGCCTGGGCGTGGTCCTCAGAGGTGAGGGAGCTGCCAAGGTTCCTGGGGAAGGAGGTGCAGGTGCTGCCTTAACATAGGGTGTGGCTGGCATGCGGTGGCTCACACCCTGGAGGGAGCGCCCCATGTGCTGTGCCTGCATCCCCCAGTTGGGAAGGCCTAGTGGGGAACCCATTGGCTCAGCCACCTGGTGCCTGACTTTAGCCGCTTCTTTCCTTTAACCCTGCAGGTGTGGAGACCATGGCCAGCTATGAGGAGGTTTTGCACCTCCTGCGCTATCGGAACTGGCATACCAGGTCCCTGCTTGACCGGAAGTTCAGGCTCGTCTGCTCTGAGCTGAATGGTCGCTACCTGAGCAATGAGTTTAAGGTGGAGGTGAGTTCAAGGCTCCTACCCAGATGGGCCAGCAGCAGTTGGGTTCCTTGACTCATTTCTGCAATACTGGAGATGTAACATAGGCCTTTGTACTGAGCTATATCCCTAGCCCTTTTTTCGAGACAGGGTCCTCCCTAAATTGCCCAGGCTGGGCTGGAACTTATGACCCTCCTGCCTCAGCTTCCCAGAGTGCTGGGATCACAGGGGTGTGCTTCCATGCCTGAAGTTAAGGATTTTGACTCTTAACCCTAAAGTTTCAAAGGCTGGTGTTAGGTGCTGTCATGGTGGCAGCCATTCGGGCTCATCCCGGGGGTGGTGACCTTTTCCAGTCTGGAGTCTGCTGTGGGACAGACATGTGCAGGCTGAAGAGGCCGGATCCATGTAGGAGCCTCAGGAGCCTTGGAAGGGGTGATGAGGAGCAGGTGACAGAGTGCAGGGAGGCATTTCACTTGTGAGAGGTGCGTGAAGACACTGTTCTGAGAGCACCACTTGGGCCCAAAGGTCTCGGGCTGCGCTAGGTCACTGGCCGTGGGTAGAGAAAGTGGAGTCCTCGGGCCAGGGCCGGGGGCTGACTGGGGGCTGACACTGCCCAGGCTGGTGGCTGTCACTCTCAGGCCATAGCACCTGAGAACAGCAGCTTGTCCTGCTCCGAAAGCACCACAGTGCCCACTGCAGCTTCCTCCACACCCTGGGCTCTGTGGTCTGGAGAAAGGGACACACAGTTGCTTTTGGCCTCTGTCATCATCACTGTGGCCTTGGGGCTGCAGCCGCAGCCTCACAGTGCTGGGGATGAGTTCATTGGAGCTGAAGAGGAACTGGCCGGGAGTGGAAGCAGTGGTGATGCGCTGTCTTCCATGGAGGCTTGGGCAGAGGGAGACCGCTCCGTTCTGCGTAGGGGAGGCCAGCAGTGGACAGGTTCGCGTGCAGATGGGCTCTTAGGAATGCAGCGTGTGTCTTGGGTGTGTGATAGCACCAGGTTGTTTCAGCAGCTCCTGAGGCCTCTGGATTTTCCTCGGGTTGCAGACAGTAGCTCTGGTGCTGGCCTGGCCCGGGACCACTCGGGTGGTGTGTGTAAGACACGGGCAGGGTGCTGGTCTCCTGCGACCCATTGTGCTCTTTTCCCTCCCTCCTTCCTTTCACTCTCTGCTGCAGGTGAATGTGATCCACACGGCCAACCCCGTGGAACATGCCAGCCACATGGCCGCCCAGCCACAGTTTGTTCACCCTGAACATCGCTCCTTTGTGGACCTGTCAGGTCACAACCTGGCCAGTCCTCACCCGTTCGCAGGTAGACAGCCTGGGAAGCTCTGGGGCATTCTCAGGCGGTGGCATCTGAGAAGGTCCAGTGGCCCCGCAGATGGCACATTGTCTCCCCGTTACTCGGCCACCCCTGGAAGCTCAGACGGCCACCGCACAGGCGGGAGCTCTCCCTGGGGTCTCCTCTGCCCACGGGTCCGGTGATGCGCCTGGCCAGCCTGTCCCCACCCAGTGCAGTGGGGAGGTCAGGGGTGGGAGGCGTATCCCAAAATCTGTTTCCTCTGGGTCTCCCGGCAGTTGTGCCCAGCACCGCCACGGTGGTGATCGTGGTGTGCGTCAGCTTCCTGGTTTTCATGATTATCCTGGGAGTGTTTCGGATCCGGGCTGCACATCAGCGATCGATGCGAGACCAGGACACGGGGAAGGAGAACGAGATGGACTGGGATGACTCGGCGTTGACCATCACCGTGAACCCCATGGAGGTGGGAGTGGCTGATGCCTGGCTGCAGAGCCGTGTAGTGTGACCCCCTTGCTAGAGGCCCTGTCCGAGGAAGTTAGGGTGCATTCGCTGTGGGCCCAGTGCAGTGTGCGGGGCACCGGGCTGTTCCCTGGAGGGTCCCCTCGGGCATACTGCCCGTCCTTGGCGGCCGAGCTAGACATGTGCCTTCCTCCTGTTTACAGACCTATGAGGACCAGCACAGCAGCGAGGAGGAGGAGGAGGAGGAGGAAGAGGAGGAGGAGGAGAGCGAGGATGGGGAGGAGGAGGAGGACATCACCAGCGCCGAGTCGGAGAGCAGCGAGGAAGAGGAGGGCGGCCCAGGTGACGGCCAGAGTGCAGCCCGGCAGCAGCAGCTGGAGTGGGACGACTCCACACTCAGCTACTGAGCGGCCCCGCCTCGCGTCTGTGTACAAAGTCCTTGGCCAGCAGGTCTGCAGCCCGTGCCCGCCCGTGTTGGGGCATAGCCCCACCCTCGCTTGCCCTCACCGCCCACTGCTCAGTGCCCAGAGCCGCAGTTCTCCCTCTGCTCCCCTGCCGCCCCAGAGCGCCCCGCTTCCCATGCCTCCAGAAAAGCTGCAGTGACTGGACTTGGTGACAAAGGGTAAAAATCGCTCGCTCCCTTGCGGTAATTCTTTTTCTTTTTTTAAAGTTTTTATTTTTTCCAAACTAGTGCATGTATAAAGTGGCAGAATGGGGGTTAATATGTAGATGACCAATGACTTTTTAATATTTTGTAAATAAATCGGGATTCTCTGTGTCCTTTGTGCTAGTGTAGTCCAGGACGGGAAGGTAAAGCGAAGCTGAGTATGCCGGGCACGGGGCCCGGTGCTGTCCCCTCCCCGGCCCGCTTCCTCCTGAGAAGCCGCAGGGAGGGTGCAGAACGGTAGGCGTGCTGCTGGGGACCAGATCAGGGGCCCTCCCTGGGGGCTGGGAGTCTAGAGTCTGGCCCCCTCTGTGTGCCTCCGAGTGCAGCCGTGCAGTTTACGCTTAACAGACACCGTCGTGTCCCTGCTTGTAGAAGTGTGTGAATCATAGAAGTCACAGCCGTGGTACAGAATGTTGCCGCTTGGCTTGGAGCTGGCAGCAGGCCCGAGGGAGCTACGCACAGAACGGTCCCACTGTGTCTCCCTCTTCCCAGCTCCTGCCGTGCCCTGCTGGGTCAGAGCCGCACCCCAGAGCCAGGAGTCCTGCTGCTGCTGCTGCTGCTGCTGCGGGCCACGGCCAGGGCACAGCAGAGCAGGCAGTCGCTTCTGAACACAGCGCTGCTCTCCTTCCCGCCCAGTCCCAAGTGGAGGACGGGCACTGTACTGTCCCGTGCTGTGCGGCCACCCGGCTCATCCTGTCCCTGTAGCTGCTGTCTAGATGGGGCAGCGTCCTGCAGAGGCCTTCCCGTGTGTCCGCAGTGCCCGGCATCCCTTCAGATGTGTATATTGGCGCTAGGTGGGAAAGTGTGCACACTACAATAAAGTTCTGGTTCTAACTCTCCTTGCAGTGGGGTCTGTTTTCTGTCTCGCATTCCCTCGTTTCTTTTTGAGCCAAGAACGTAAGAACATCAAAAGACTTTTATTTTTTTTCCACCTTCCTTCCCATCTCACATCAAGGTTACATGGATTTAGCCCAGGTCAGTGATACAGTACTTGCCTTCCCTAGACAGAAACATGAAATGACTTTAAAAAAATAGAAAATATTTCTTGCTGGGCACACAGCCTGTACACCAGACCACAAGTTGCTGAGGGTGTGCAGATTCTGTGGCCTGTGTCAGGGAGCACCCAGACTTGTTTCAATAAATAACACGACATAAACACATACACACGGCTTTCCTTCCTGCCTGAGCTGGGAACCAGAGTGATCACTCGCTTCACAGACCAGGCAGGGGCTCCGTGGTGGCACCGATGGCTGCTGGACCCCAGCTCCTCCATGGAGACAGCTGGCACCTGGCCTCCTGAAGCTGCACCCCTGGGCTGCCGAGGGCTGGACCAGGCGCCACAGGCTGCTTGCTTTTTTTTGTTTGCAGTGCTATGGATGGAACCCAGGGCCTTGCTCATGATAATAAATACACGCCCTGCCACTGAGCCACATCCCAAGCCACATGGGGTTCTGAAAGTACAGGTTCCTGGCCCTGTGGTCACAGTGGTCCTCAGAAGAGAGAGGCCCAGGGTCCCGGACTGCTCACCCTGCCCTGACCCAGCCCTGGGAGCCCTAAGGCTAACCTGGACCATTTCAAGTTAAGCGTTGTCAGAAAGGAGCCACCTCGCTGCCCCACGCTCTCTTGGGGACCTGGTGGTGCTGAACAGCTTCCCAGTAAGGACAGCTGTGGGTGACATCAGTTCCGCCCCTTTGTCTAGATGGCCCAAGAGGCAGCTCACATATGGTTGCACCAAGGACGCCATCTGCCCCTCGCACGGGGCAGTGACCAGGATGAGCTCAGCCCTGCACAGGTCTTCTCAGCACGGCTAGAGGGCCAAGCTGGTGGTCCGCCTTGGGAGCGGGTGCCTGTCCTAGCCCTAGAGGTTCACTAAGTGCTCTGGCTATTTTCTTACCTAAAAGTAAAGAGGTAAGGACATCTCTGTACCGAGTCATGTCAGCAGTGACAAGCAAGTGTCCCTGAGTCTAGAGAGTACCCGCCTGCCTCTTGGTCAGTGGAAGGGAGGAGGCAGAGGCGAGCCGAGGGTTGAGCTGTCCTGTCCGGAGAGGAGGTGGCAGGTGACAGCTAGGCACCAAGCCCCAGGCAGGCAGGAAGAAGCCCGGGAAGACGATGCCCCACCCCGGAAGTCCTCTGGGCTGAGGTCCCTCAGCTGGAAGACCTGAGGTGACAATCCTGAGCTGGGAGCAAGGTGCCTGGCCCAGCACCCTACCCCGCCAAGGGTGCATTTCCATTTATGGCTGTTTTGCTCCTTAAGCATTTCGGTCATAAATAAATAACCAGTGTAAACAAAAGACAGCTGTGTGGCTCCTTCCCATGAGGTGCAGTTCAGACTCTTAGGCCTGTTGAAGATGACGGAGGGACACAGTTTGCCCCGGGCCAAGCCAGGAGGGGACAGGGCATGGCCGGAAGGGGCCGCTACTGCCTGTTGTCTTTGGACACATTGTGTGCCAGCCAGTTCACTTTGGTCTTCCAGCTCTCCCTGAGGGCCTCGTTGAACTTCACCCGGAAGTGCTTCAGCGCCTCCTCTTCTGTTTTCCCCAGTGCCAGGGAGTCCTGGACAGGGTCATACAGCAGCATCACCACTTGGGGCCCCGTCCCACCCCATCGTATGGCTCCTCTGTCCCCTTGATGAGTACAGGGAATTAGCTGAGGCTCCACAGATCTCTCAGGAGAGCACATTACTCTGACCCCAAACCCAAGCTTCCGGGCCCACTGCAGGTTCAGGTGCCAAAGGGGTCCCAGGCCCACAGCCCATCACGGTGCCAGCTCACCCTGCCCTGACTGGGAGGAGGGTTGGGGAGCACAGTGGGCCCCCACCCATCTCTCAGACAACATGTGAAGGACCCGTCACATAGCCCTCGCTGTGCACGTGAGGACCTGTGGGGACCCATGGGGTGGCCAACAAGGGTCACCCAGCAGTGCACCAAGCGAGTCTCAGCCCAGGGAGCCTGGCTGCTCGGGCCACTTCCCACCATTCACCACGCTGGGTCCCTAGCATGAGGACCGGGCTGGCGGGTGCTCAGAGGCCCCCATGTCCCTGCCCTTCGCACCTTGAGGTACTGGATGTCTTTGGAGCAGCTGAGCTCAGGCAGGCCCGCCGCCCGCATCAGTGCAAAGAGATGGAGGAAGAGGAGGCCGTGGCGCCGCAGGATGGTGTAGGCTCGCTCGCAGTAGCCCCGGAACCTGCGGGAGAGGAGGCCAGGCAGGCGAGGTGCTGGGTCGTCCGGCCCAAGGCTGCGGGCCAGTCCACATCTACCCGCAGAGTCCCTGAGCATCGCTCTGGCCCTGGTGACAGGGTCCAGGCTGCCTGCGTCCCCGCCTCCTACACCACCCAGGAACCTCCTCCGCCATTGCCCCAAGAGGGCCGGGAGCCTTCTGTCCCCTCCTTGGTGGCCCCAGGCAGCCTCACCTTTCAAATTTCTCGCTGTTGTTCGTCTTCCCCTGCTGAATCACGTGGACGAAGTCATAGGTGAGGATGAATGGGACCCGCTCACGGTTGATTCCAAACTTGGTCTTGAAATTTCCCAGGAAATGGCCGAAATCAATGTGGAACAGCTGAGGAGGGAAGGGTGGAGACGGGCAAGGTGTCAGTCCCTGGGGAGAGGGGAAAGTGCTGGGTTTAAGGAAGCTGTGTGCCGAGCTGGAGGACGGCAACCGCACGGCCCTACCTGCCCACTCTCGCGGATCATGATGTTGTCGCTGTGCCGATCGCCGATGCCCAGCACGTAGGTGGCCACGCAGTAGCCGGCACAGGACAGGGTGAACTCTTCGATGGCCCGCTCCAGAGCCTCCCTGGAGGTTGGAGGGGGGACTGAAAGCCACAGCCACACCGCTGTGCCGCTGAGCTGACTCAGTTTCCCTGCCCCAAGACGGGCCTGGACTGTGAGGGAGACCAGGCCCCACGGCGCTGAGAGGGTGAGGCCACGTGGAGAGGGGTGCTGGGACCTCCGGTACCCAGGCCCCGGCATGTGACAGGCCGTCTCAGACAGAGTTCCAGATGGCAGCAGGTGCAGAACCAATGCCAGCAAGACCAGCGGAAACGCGCAGCCAGCGATGGTGGCGGTGGTTTCACAAAGCTCCGAGCCTTGAGGAGCACGAATGGATCTGTGGGGACCGCGGCCTGCCCAATCCCACGAGACGCCCTGGGCTGACCACAGAGACTGTCCCTGGCTGTCCCCTCACAAGTGACTGGGCCCCTATCACACCTCTCAGGAAGGAGCCCTACCCAGGGTTCTTGGACTTGAGCCAGTTGAGCAGGGCGTCCTTGTTGAAGGCAGCCGTGGCCGCCATGTTGCTCTTGTTCAGCTGGATGTTGGCGATGGTGTCCGAGTGCAGCACCACCTCGATGAGGCCTGTTCGGTCCCCGGTGGGGAGGCAGCCGTAGGGTGTCATCCTGGGCCGAAGGGTGGGAAGATGCTGTGGTCAAGGGCTGTCCCTGGGGCTGCTGGACCCCCAGGAGCTGAGGAGGGAAGGGCACTGCGCGTGGAGGAGGCTCCTGGAGACATCAGCACCGGCTCCCCATGCAGGGCGCACCTGGGCCCAGCTCAGGTTTGCTTGGAAGAAACAAACCGGGAGGTGGGAAGGAGTTGTGTCTGCTTTCCCACATGGAGCAGCCAGGAAATGTGGGGATGAGACACGGCCCTCACTCCCCTCCCTGCCGCCCTGTGGCCTCCCGGATCCATTACAGCTGCTAGGGTAAGGACACGGCACAGGCGGCAGGTGGCAGGGATCCCACCTCAGGTCCAGGCCCTCCTGCTTCCACAGCACGTCCATGAGCTGGATCATCTGCAGGGTCAGCATGTCCTGGCGGAGGTCTGCAGCGGCCAGGAGGGAGGCTGTGGTTCCTGGTGGGTCCTGCCACGCCAGGACCCTAGGGTCCCACACCCCATCCCAGCGCTGCCCAGCCTGGCTCACCATCCCCATTCTTGAAGATGATGCCCACGCTGCCAGCAGTGCCCGCCTCCTCGCTGCTGTACATGATCCACAGTGGCTTCATCTTGGAGTCCATGAAGGTGCACTGCTCCACGCTGCGGCCAGAGAACGGGGTCAGCAGCGCCACCCTGGCAGCCGGGTCCCAGGGTGGGAGGGACAGTGCTCACCACACTTCCTCCAGCAGTGTGCTGGGGTCCAGCGGGGACTGCAGGTGGGACAGCGCCTCCAGATAGGTCTCCTGCCGCATGCACAGGTGCATGAGCTCCTTGGTCTGGGGCTTGGTGGTCTTCTGGGAGCTCACCTTCACAAAGTCATTCAGGGCCTTCAGCTTGCTCAGTGCTTCGCCCTGGCGGACGGAGGGAGCACAGTGGTGGGCAGGGCCCGGCCCTGCCGGAAGTAGCCTGGCAGAAGTGCCCAGCCTCACCTGCTTCATCAGCACCTTCATGTGGTGGGTGCTGCCCCTGCAGTAGGCCTCCATGATGAGGCCAAAGCGCAGGGCCACCGACGGCACGTGCATCTCGGAGCTGTGGGAGGGACACCAGGCTGAGCCACCAGGCCGGGCTGCAGAGTTCCTTCCCCAGCCCCAGAAGGGAGGACCTGGGGCGGCCGGGACATGGGGCCAGAGCCCCCCTTCCCTCATGGCCAGGGCAGGCCCAGCTACCGGAGATGCCAGAAGAGGAAGTGGCCGATCTTGCGGTTGGCCAGTGCCCGATCCAGCAAGAACTTGGTCAGCTCGCAGTCCAGGTAGGACTCATACTTGAGCACCTGGACCAGCTGCAGCAGGTACTGGAAGAGCTCATCATCCCTGCGGGAAGGGAAGCCAGCTAGGGCCCGGAGCGAGGCCCCTAGGCAGGGGGAAGTGGGCTCAGCCACGCTGGCACCCCCTGCAGACCCACAGGGGACTCACGTCAGTTTCCGCAGGGACTTGATGGCGAAGGAGCCCACATGGCAGTCGGGGAAGCTGAAATCCAGCAGCTCCAGGGCACTCAGGACAGGCAGCTCGGGCCAGGAGCACAGCAGGTACAGCATCTGGGGGTGCGTGGCGTTCAGGGGATAGCAGGTGGCACTGTCGCGTGCCCCAGCTGTCCTGGGTACCCCCTGCACCCACCTGGGCCACGTCCTCGTGTTTGTGCCACTTGGTGACCAGCAGCAGGCGGGACAGCGCGTCTGGAAAGTGCTCCTGGACCTCGTGCCGCATCTTCCACACCAGGTCCTTCTCGTGCTCGTACAGCTCACTTGAGCCCCGCCGCTCCAGGATCTCCCGCAGCTGCACCTGCTGAGGGGCGCAGGAGCATGAGGGCCGTGGCTAGACCCGGCCCCACGCCTCGCCCGGGCCCCGGCTCACCTCCTCCTCTGTGATGCGTCCATGCTGCTCCCCGTGTCTCCCCAGTTCCAGGATCTGCAAGGAGTTGCCTGTTCTTAGGGCCCTGGCCCCTTGGCCATGGTGCTGACCACTCTTGCTGTGGGGACCATGCTGGGCACTACAAGGCACTGAGCGGTGTCCCTGACCCCTGCCTGCTACAGGCCAGGAGCGTCCCTCCCACTTGCCATGACAACCAAAGGCATCACCAATTACCCGACGTCTCCACTCAGCTGGCAGAGACGCCCCAGAAGCAGGGCCAGCGAAGCCCTCGAGCCAGTGGCCCCACTGACCTTCTCCAGGGTGGGGTAGTACACGGGGTGCGGGGCCACCTCAGGCAGGCAGATGACCAGGGCAGCCGCACTCTCCGTGTTGGGGTTGCCATGCACGGTCCCCGCAGGGTTCAGCAGCTCGCCTTTCTCATCTGGATGTGGGGACACATGGGGCTGTATGGGAAGGGCCACTGATTGCCCTGCGCCCCCCAACATGGCTCCCTCCTGGGCCTGGCCCCACCTGGGACCGAGGGCCACATGTACAGGCGGCGCTCCCCGGTCTTGAGCTGGTCCCGGTAGTCGAACAGCATGATGTTGGCCCAGGCGATCGGGCAGTCCTGTGGGGACCTCAGTGGGTCAGGGCCACACACGGCGGGTGGGAAGAGCGGGAGGCCAGGCCAAGGAGGGCTTCCCAGCACCCTACCCACCGCCTTCTTGGACTTCTTCTTGGTGGAGCGCGCCTTCTTGGCTTTCTCCACCACGGCGTAGAGCGCGAAACAGAGCCGGGCCATGCGCGGCAGGTCGCAGATGCTGATGTCGAACTCCAGCCGCTGCTTCCACAGGGGCTCGGAGCACACGCTGACCTCCAGGCTGGACACCGTCTTGCACAGCATCTCGTGGCCGTGGAAGAGCCCGGCCTGCACCACCAGCTGGCAAAGGAGGTGCCACGCACAGGTGAGGGGAGCTGCGGCCGCCCCACCTCCAGTCACCTCCCAACATCCCGTTCCCACACAGGCCAGAGCCACTTGCTGCGTGCAGCAGGGTGCAGCGGCCTGAGTGGACGCACAGCCGCGGGGCAGGGTCAGCATGTGGGCTGCGCACGGGCAACAGTCCCCATCAGGGCCTGGCGATTCCAGGGGCCCTTCTGGCTATAGCATCCTGGGGCTCCCTTCAGTCTTAGAGCTCCGTGTGGGTGGAGAAGGGAAGGGTTTTCACTCTGCCTTGATCAGTCTCTTGGCAGCCCCCACCTCCACCTCACAAGTCTCTCCTGAAAGCCTCTTTTCTTTGTCCTCCATGATTCCCACCAGGGGACTCAGCCCCTTTCAGCTTGCAAAATCACCCCAACAAAAAGGGACCCAGGGCCACGTGTGGTCGCGTACGCCTGTCATCTCAACAGTCTTACTCCTTAGCAAGACCCTGTCTCAAAATAAAAGGAAAAAAGTACGCTTGTAATCCCAACACTCAGGAAGCTGAGGCATGAGGGTTGCTGTGAGTTTGAGGCCAGCCTGGGCTACAAAGTGAGATTGTTTCAAAACACCAGAGATAAAACAAAAAAGTGGGAGGATGTTGCTCAGGGCCAAAGCACTGGGTTCAATTCTCAGTGTCCCCCCAAAAAGGTGGGGGACGCAGACAAGAGATGCAGGCTTGTTTCTAGGTGTCACATCCACAGTAAAGACTCCAGGTGACAGGTGGCTCTGAGGGTCGAGAGCAACAGTGTAGCATGAGCTCCTACTGTGTACCCTTGAAAGCCAGGGGACAAGTGCAAAGCCCTCCCAGCGCCTCTGGGAGCCCCAGCCCAGCTCGGACCTCTGCCCAGACCTCTAATTCCTCATCCCTGGTTGGGCCTGACCCCAACCCCCTCCGAAGGCAGATACCCAGAAGAGGCTGGGCCCAACTTCCACGAATCAGCCTCCCTGGCCGGCTGGCCTCTCCCTCCCCTCTTCCTGTTTTGCAGCGCTCAGAGCCACGCCAGCAAGGATGCTGGGTAATGTGTGGTCAGGTGGCTGTCGTGTGACACCCTCCCACTCTCCTTCCTCTGCTGCCCTCCAGGCCGCAGCCACCTTGTTTGTGCCAAAAAACACGGCTCCTTCCCTCTCCTACCCCGGCCCCTACCTTCATGCGCTCATCCGCATTCACCTTGCTGCCCTGGATGAGCTCGATGCAGAACGGCTGCTCCAGCGACCACAGGGACACGGAGGAAGGCTGGGGGCCAGTGCAGCCACAGCTCACATCCCTGGAGGAGGCCCTGACCACTCGCGTGGGTGGGGGTCGCAGGGTTGTGGCGAGGCTCGGACCTGTCCCTGGCGCCAGCCTTTCCCAGGAAACCTGCCCCGCAGGCGGCCCGGGCCCCTTGGCACCTCCACAGAGCAGCACAGACCCGGGGGCCTCCCGGCAGCCCAGGGGGACCCCCATGCCCATGTCGGTCACCCCAGCCTCCCCAGCTCTGATGAAGCCCCAACTGTCAAGGGCCCCTGGACCCATGGCCGGTCCAACAGGCAGGTCCTGGGGGGCAGGACCGAGGGGAGGGGAACATGTCACTCACCTTCTTGGTAGGAATGGGAGGCGGCTTGGGGCGTGGCTTCTGGACTTGGGACGTGGGGTTGCCCTGCTCCTCCCGCATGGCCAGGATGGAGGAGGAGTGCAGCATGGTGAGGTGGGGTGTCAGTCCGTTGTGCAGGCAGCTACAGATGTACTGAGGCGGTGGGGTGCAGGGTGAGCTGCCCGTAGGCAGCCCCCACACCCCAGGGCCTGGCGGATCCTGCTCTGCCCACCCTGTGCTCTGGCCTCACCTGGAACTGGCACAGCGGGTAACTGCCGTACAGGTACTCGTGCCTCCCGTTCACCTGCAGTGCATAGTCCTCCGGCTGCTCCACCAGTGGCTGCCGGAAGACCGTGGCCTTCTTGCGCAGGGCACAGGCCATCAGCGCCAGCGGCGTGTCCTTGGTGGACACCTGGAAGGTGAAGCTCTCCTGGGGAGTAGGGGAGGCTTAGCCCTTGGGCTTCTAGGCACCAGGGCGGGTGGTAGGGCTGTGATCGGGGAGCCCCAGGAAGGCAGGGTCTGTCTAGGGGCCGAAGCACAGTTCAATGAACAGGTGGTCCAGTGGCAGTGCCATCTGGTCACCTCCTGGTGGGACCCTAGGCCAAGCCCCTCTCAGGCATGGACACCGACCCTTAGGCCGTGGAGAGGAGGGTGGATTCGCGGGGCCTGGGGACGACTGGGGAGGTTAACAGGGGGCGCCTCGGTGAGCTGTGCAGCCGGGATGCGGCAGCCGCGCCAGGGTCCGGGGAAGCAGGTCGCACGGGCTCACCTCGCTGCCCTCGAACTTGACGTTGACCAGCAGGGCCCGGTTGGGGACTCTCAGAGTGCCGGGTCCCCAGCTCCTGGCCGAGGGCTCGAGCTGCAGAGGGAAGCTGTACTGCAGCCAGTCCTCCCAGCCCAGCTGCTGGCGCCGCGCGGCTGCCTCCTCGCAGAACTGGCGCATCTTGGCTCGGAAGTCGTTCACTTCCGGGTCCCCCAGGGAGTCGAACTCGTGCAGACCTGGGGGGCAGCGGGGGATCAGCACGGGGGCAGGGCCGGTCCCGGACCAGACCCGGCCGCCACACGGCTACCTTTGCCAATGAGGAGGCTGATCTGCGAGTTGATGAGCTTCTTGACGCGGTCCCCCTCCCGGGCCACCACGCGCAGCACTGGCAGGAAGGGCCGGACGTCGCACAGCCGCCGCTGCTCGTCCTCCAGCTCCTGCTGCTCGGCCGTTTGGTTGACGCAGGTGAACACGTAGGCCTCAGGGCCACTGAGCATGTGGAAGAGCGGCTCATACTGCGCCCGGTGCCACAGCACCTGCGGGGGCCGCACTGTTAGGCTCTCGGCTGGGGTCCCGGCGTGCACCGTCCAGGCCATGGGAGACCCCACGGCCAGGCCCCTTCAGACCCTGGACTGACCACACAAGCCCTGCCCTCTGTGAAGGTCCTGGGGTGTGTGGAGACCTGGGGCCGCAGCCCAGTGTCTCCCTGGAGGTTACACAGACCTCCTCAGGCCACCCTGGGCAGGATCTGCAGTCACCCCCAGCAATCAGGGTTCATCACCTTGATTTTTAAAAGCTGGAAATCAACTGAGTTAGCAAGCCAGTGGGGTGAGGTGGCACAAGCCTATAATCCCAAATACTTGGGAGGCTGAGGCAAGAGGATTGCCTTGAGTTTGATGCCACCTGGGCTACACAGAGTGATCCTGTCTCAAAAAACATAAATAAATAAAAATAAAAAGAAGAAAAGTTTAATGTGTCAATGGGGCATAGAAAAGTCTCCGTGGACAGTGTTGGGCATGGCCACCAGTGTAGCCTCCAGGTGATGTCCCCAGAGCCTCTGGCTACAGGACCAAGGGAACAGTTGGCTTTAGAGTAAGGTGCTCCACGCCGGAAAGGAGGGCAGAGCCCGGAGCTGCTCCAGGGACAGCTGATTATGGTCTGTCCGTGTGACACTGATGTAGGGCCACAACATGGCCCAGGGGAACAGGGACTTCGTCAGGAGGAAGACACCTCAGATTCATCCCAGAGACACAACGCTAAGAAACATTCATTGCTCCAGAGCAGGACTGGGGAAACTACAGTTTTTGTTGTTGTTTTGTTTTTGAGGTGACTGAGGATGGAACCCAGGGCGTTTGTACTGAGCAACAACCCAGCCCGTTTTTAATTTTTAAAATTTGGAGACAGGCTCCAGCTAAGTTGCTAAATTGCCCAGGCTGGGCTCAAATGTCAATCCTCTGGAAATAGAAAGGATCAACTTCATACTAATATTTATATAAAGTTGGTAACAGGAACAAGACGCTAAGATGTTCACTTGAAAGTAAAGATGACAGTCCTTCATCAGAATCTTCACACAAAGGAACACCGTAGATAGAAGAGAAAGCAGGAAAAGAGTCAAAGTTGACTGTGGCTGTCTCTTATGGCTGGATCAGGGCTAGGTTTTCCCTTCTTTTTCTTATTGTTCTAATTTTAATGTGTCTATATTATTTTGTATTAAGAAAAATAGAAACAAACTTTTTTTTTTTGGAGACAGTGCCTTGCTCTGTAGTTTAGTTCAGGCTACCCTTGAGCTCACTGCATAGCCCAGGCTGGCCTGGATTTTGCCTCCTGCCTCCTGAGTGCTGGGTTCAGAGGCCTGTGCCACCACACTTGGCTAGAAACATTATTATTGTTGGCAGAGGTGCAGAGATTGCACCCAGGGCCTGTGCACTAAGCTATATTTTCAGCTCCTTTTTTTAATTTTGAGAGAGGCTCTCACTAAGTCAAACAGCCTGGACTCAAACTGAGCCTTCTGCCTCAGCCTCTGGAGTGTTGGTATAATAACAGGACTACACTACGCTGTGCCTGGCTAAGAAACTTAATTTTTTGTTTTGTTTTTTTAGAGACAGGGTCTCACTATGTAGTTGAGACTGACCTGGAACTCACTATGGTCTCAAATTCACAGGGATCCTCCTGCCTCAGCCTCCCTAGTGCTGGGATGACAGGAATGCACCACCACGCCCAGCTGTAAGAATTTAATTTTTAAAGAAATCTCCCAGGAAGGGGAACCAAAAAAACCTTCAAGGATGGTACTTTACTTTTATCACTCCTTTTTCTGCTCCCAGTGACAGCTTTTGCAACTGTGAGCTAAGGCCTTCCCCTGTGGCAGCCTAAGGCAGGCCCGGGAGACCCTACACTGTAAGTGCCACAGGCCCTTTGAAAGTCACAACCACCACCAGATGTCCGGTGCCGAACACCAACACCCAGACATTCATGCTTTGACTCAGCAATCCACCCTGCAAGTTATACAGTAAGACCAGAAACTCTTTTCTGGAATGAGGGTCACGATAACAGTGACATCTGTGAACATGAAGGTCCGTGAGTCCGAGGGGCAGCCCTCCTGGCCAGTTACTGGTAATCTACTCATCTTGTAATCTGACATGGGGAGACCTGTTACAGGGGGAAGCTGGATTCGGAATGATAAGCGGAAGTGACCACAAGTTTTCAACCATTCTTGAAAATGCTGTCTTTTAAAATGTCATTGGAGGATCCGGAGTCCGGGAAATGATAGGCCCGTCCGTCCGTCCATCTGTCCTTTAACAGCTAGGTCAGGGACTGCATTTGGGACAGTGCTGTACCTGCTTGATGGTGCTGAGGTTGGCATTGAGGGACACGGGGAAGTTGAGGTAGACCCCCGTGGGCAGCAGGAAGTCCACCACCACGTTCTGATTCTCCTCCTCGGTCCAGAACTCCATTGGGCAGTCGACCCCGGGGGGCATGGTGCCGTCCTGTGGGCGCGAGGGGGCAGGGTGAGGGCCATGCCCTCCGATCCTGCCCCAATGCTCTGCAGGCGGGACAGCGGCAGCTGGGGACCGAGTCCCAGCCCGTAGGGCACAGAGCCCACCCCCAAGGCCTCGCCCACCCCCAGGCCACCATTGGGCCACCTCTCATCAGAGTTGCCCCCCACACAGCTGGGCAAACACAGCCACACCAGCCAGGCAACGAGAGGACCCAGCACATCTGGCACAAGAGGGGCATGGAAGGGAGAAAGCACGTGGCTGAGCAAACACTTTAGACCTCAGAGAGACTAAAGCCTGCACCTCCTCCTCCTCGTTTTCATCATCATCTTCAACTGCAGAACTTGGGATTTAACCCAGGACCTTCACACTGGGCTATATAACCAGCCCTTTTTATTTATTTTTTAAATTTTGAGACAGGGTCACACTAAATAGCTCAACTGCTCAGACTGGCCTTAAACTTGCCATCCTCCTGCCTCAGCCTCCCAGAGGCTTGCACCACCTTACCTGGTTTATCCTCTGAAACTTTCTAACCGGAAACCAAAAGGCTTCAAACTCAGCTCTGGCCATTTACCAACTGGTTGAAATGTCTCAATCATACTGAACTCCAAGTCGCCCTCCCCTGCCCCTAGTAAATAGTAAAACATTATAGACACAGTTGAAGATCCCAGTGCACCCCACACAGCCAGATCACCTCTGTCCCTTCAGGCTCCCTTTCTCCAGGTCACCACCACCTGGAATCTGCTTGTTTACAGTTTCCATGCATATTTTTATACTTTCAGCACACAAACAGGTAGCCACCAGGAATTCTGATGTTCTGGTTTAAAATTAACCTTATAGAATAGCAGCAGCCACTCTGGCCCCATAGTGCGATGCCCTGGGGGTGACTGCAGCATCAGTTCACCATCCTAACTCTGGACCTGTGTTTCACTGGGTCAAGAAAGCACCATTCTCTACCCCAACTCTTGCCGATGAAGGTTTGTTTCTACTTTTCCTGGTGCATGGCAATGCTACAGTGTATACTCCTGTGGCCAAGTTTTGGTGTAAAAACCAAGGTAAAAAAAGCCTCATCCTAGCCCATTTCTTAATCTCAAGGTTACCAGCAGCCACATTCAAAACAGGGAGCCAGGAGTTTTGCTCAGTGGCACTGCGCCTGCCTCGAAAGTGCAAGGTCCTGAGTTTGATCTTCAGTACCGGGGGAAAAAAAGGTTGTATTTATCCCAAAAGATAACCATCTCAACACATCATCAGTATAGAAAAAGTACTCCCTCTCCCCCAAGATAGGGTGTCTCACTCTGTAGTTCAGGTTGGCCCTAAATTCACTATGTAGCCCAGGCTGGCCTTGAACTCACAAGGATCCTCCTGCCTCAGCCTCCCAAGTGCTGGGATTATAGGCAGGTGCCACCACAGCTGGCTCTGAAATGGTGTTATGTTATTTTAATATGCATTTCTCTGATGATCCCACAAAATGTTTATCTTTCGCAGAGAGCCCGCTGGTAACGTTGGCCCTTGTCCCAGTGGGTTACTATTTTTACATGAGTTCACAGAAACATGTCCCCGCCATGTGTCCCCTTGTGGGTCAAATGAGCTGGAAATATCTAGGCTGTCATCTTTTTGCTTTGTTTGTGGTGTCTTTTTGACAAGTAGAAGTTTTTAACCGTGGTGTCTAATTTATCAACCTTTGCCTTTCTGTTTTATGATTTTTATTGTTTAAAAAGCACTTAGGGGCTGGGGGAAGAACTCAGAGGTAGAGTTTGGCACCCATGAGGTCTGATTTAGTCCCTAGCACTGCAGAAAAGACTCCTGAAAACAAGTTGGTTACGTTCCCTCCCACCGTAAGGCCCACTGTCCCCCATGACTGAACACTGCCCAGGGCACTTCTGTACCGGGCGAACGTTCTCTGGCTGGCGGTGCCAGTGGTGCCTCTGCCTTGTCCTCGGTGGTCACAGATGTGGCTCAAAGCCTGGAGACCACACGTTTCCTGGGCTGTTTGGTGGCTGCTTCCCGATTGTGAAGCCACAACTTCCTTGGGGTTCTTTCTGAGAACGGCCAGGCCAAAGAGCCTTCCTTCTGATTGGAAACTTGGGGTGCAGTGCTGGGCCTGTGCCCGCTCAGCTTGGGAAGTCACTTGGCCCGCTCAGTGCCCTGGAAAAGAAGCCTTCAGCTGTGCAGCCTGCTGGGGGTCACGGAGAGACGCCGCCTTAGGCAAACCTCGTTCTTAACACTCCCGGCAGCACACATGCACTGGACATTGCCCGGCCACTTCCGGGACGGACAGGACAGCAGGAAGCAGCGGTCCCTTCCCACCTCTGGGCCCCGAGCTCTCCTGGGGGCAAAGTCAGAGCCGTCACTGTCCAAGGTGACCCGGCCCAGCCTCTGGAGAGCCGTTCGGTAGCATCTCCCGCGGGGTCACAGCAGGCGTGTCACAAGCCATGTGTGCTCTGTTCACACACACCGGCCCCTCCGCTGGGCAGGCTCTGCGTGGCACAGATCGCGAGAAGCACAAGGCAAGCTGAGTCCTGCCTGTCCACGTGACAAACACCCTCGCTGGGGAACCTGGGCCAGTTACGTTGCCCCTTCAGGTCTCTCTGAAGTGGCCGTGAGGTCCTCAGAGCGGCATGGAAAAGGTCCCCGGGAGCCATCGCCCCACATCTGTTAGAGAGACAGACAGACATGTTCCGGAGCCACACAGCCGTCCAACATCCGGTCAGAGCTGAGCGGCATAACCCAGCTCACCCGAGAGAAGGTGCCTCAGTCACAGAAACTTCTAGAAGGTGGTCTCACACACGATCCAAATCCCTAGCAGGGGCCCAGGCTTGGAGGGTGTAAACCAGGAGCCACCTCAACGAGGGCATGCTGCAAAGCTGCTTGGAGGATAGGCAGATGAGGACCCCAGGGGGTGACCTGACACATTACACAGAACCAAGCAAAATCTGCCGTGGGCCTCATGACCAGGCCTCATTTTCAGCCCCAAAGTCCTTTTTAGTCGGGTGTGGTGGCACACACTTGTAATCCTATGCAGCACCCTGGGAGGCCGAGGCAGGACGATCTCACACTCAAGCCCATCCTGGGCAATTTAGTGACTCACCAAGACACTGTCTCAAAATAAAAAATACAAAAATGGCTGGGGATGCAGCTCAGTGTGAGGGCCCTGGATTCCATTCCCAGTACCATTAAAAAACAAACAAACAAAAACACATCTGTCTAATCAAGTGCCATTTCCCGTGGAGGAAGAAACAGGTTCATTTGCCAACTCCAGGTCCAAAGGCCCTTTCCCTGCAGAGCCGCCTGCTGGCAGAGCTCCCACCCACAAGCAGCCTTCCAGAATCAGCCATCCTGTGCTGGGCCACGAAAACCCAAAGATGCTTGAAAATCCTGGTGTGGGAAGACCAGGGACAGACATCCGGGTGATGACAGGCAGTGGGGTACTAAGGGAGGAGAGGTCTGTGGAGGTTCCAGTCCAGAATCAGCTGGCTCCAGGGCTGGGCGACAAGGGAGAGGCCTGGAGGAGTAGAGGAGCAGAAACATGGCCGGAGGAAGCAAAGAGCAGAGGGGGCAAGGGGGATGAGTCCTTCCAGGCCACACCCCCAGTAACCAGCTCTCCCCACCTCCTCACAGCAAGTCAGCTCCAAGCTTCCATAATCCCATCACCTGAGGCTCTGCGCAATGTCCAGATACACAGCACAGATCCTGCCCCTGACCCCTAAAAGAGTCATGCACATTCCATTATGCAAATGCATTTAGTCCATCTCTAAGAGTTGCCAAAGTCCTAACAGTTCCAGCATTGCTGAGAAGTTCAAGTCCAAAGACTCCTCTGAGACTCAAGGCAAACTCCACCTTGAGCCCTGTAATAGTGAGAAGAAAGTTAAACACCACAAACATACAACAGCACAGGGTAAACATGCCCATTCCAAAAGAGAGAAATGGGCAACAGAAACCAAACTACAGCCAAAAATGGACGTGTATTTGTGATCTTCCTGCCTCTGCCTCAGCCTCCCAGACTGTAGGACTAGGACCATGCCCAGCAATAGTATAAACTTGATTTTCAACTCTGAACTTCTTATCTTAAAAAAATGGAGCTGGGTGTGGTGGCACACACTTGTAATCCCAGCACTTGGGAGGCTGAGGCAGGAGGATCACTGTGAGTTTGAGACCAGCCTGGGCTACACAGTGAGCTTCAGGTCAGTCTCAACTACATAGTGAAACCTTATCTCAAAAAAACAAACACACAAAAAGACAAAACAAAACAAAATGAGCTTGTTTGGTCAGGGATTTAGCTCGGTACCAGTGCCTGCCTGGCAAGTGCAAGGTCCTGAGTTTGATCCCATATATATATATATATATATATAGAGAGAGAGAGAGAGAGAGAGAGAGAGAGAGAGAGAGAGAGAGAGAGAGAGAGAGAGAGAGAGAGAGAGAGAGAGAGCTTGTGCTGTTCTGTACATATAGCACACATAGCCAGGGATTTGGCTCAGTGGTTCCTCCGCCCGCCTCCCAAGCACAAGGTCATGAGTTTGCTCCTCAGTTCCAAAAAAGAAAAAAAAAAAAGAAAGAAAGAAAAAGTAGATTTACATATAGCATGTGCAATCCTCTTCTCATTTTCTGAATATGTGATAATTTATAAGTTATGTGATAATTTTGTTAAAGTCATCTTCAGTGCTTATGTTGTAACTATATATATTTTCAAAGCCAAGCCATAGTGTACAATGATTTCATTCTTTCATTCTGCTTTTTGCTCCTTCTATAGCTTACACTCACCTAGTTTTTAGTTTTGTTTCTATGTACAAATCACTGACTCTATATCAAGATGGAAAGGTGCACATCTCCAACAGTGAGTGTCACAATGCTGTATCTTAAATGTACCAATAAAATTAATTTTTAAAAATCAGCTGGGCGTGGTGGCCCACGCCTGTCATCCCAGCACTTGGGAGGCTGAGGCAGGAGGATCGCTGTGAGTTTAAGACCAGCCTGGGCTACAAAATGAGTTTCAGGTCAGTCTCAACTAGTGAGACCTTGTCTCAAAAAAAAAAAAAAAAAAAAAAAAAAGTATAATTTAAAAAAATCACTAACTCTCCCCAAACTCTTCAACAGGAGTATAAAACTCTTCACAATACAGAAAATGCGCCAGCTAATTCATAAACTGCACTGTTTTCTTAGGTGGTTTTCTTGGGGTTCTCAGCCATTTTGCTGCAAATGGGGCCAACTCCTGCTGGAGGGTGTGGCTCAGTGATAGGGTGTGTGCTTAGCACACAGAGCCCCTGGGTCTGATGCCCAGTATCAAAATAAACAAACAAAAAACAGACTCACTAATTAAGCAGGGAAGGAACTCACAGATTGACATATCTGCTGTATCCTAAGAAGTTTCATAGTTTAGAGTTTGAGGATGAAACAGTGACTTGTACGTTGAAAAAGTTGCTATTTTCATTCCCAGCACCACAAAAACAAACAAAACACACAGAGCAAATAAAACATGAGGCAATCCTCAACTCCAAGAAACACAAAAGTCTAACAACACAAGAAATACAGTCACCGTACACTACAGGGACACCACAGAGCAGAATCCGATAATATTGCTACTAAGCCCTGACTCCTTCATGCTCAGAACTCAACACCAGCTCACGTGGTTGCTTCCACCAAGCCAAGGCTACAGCATTCTGTTTCCTCTACCCGCTGTCCAGATACAACACCGTTACCTCTCATCAACAGAGCCCAGGCCACAGGTCCTGGCCACAGGCGGCTCACAAGTGTGTCCTTTTCAGTTCCCTCAGTGGGGTTGGTGTTGGCCCACGGCTTATGCCCATCAATATTACAGAATCTTGGGCCTCGCCATGGGGATGCTGAGGGCTGGGACCTCACGAGAGTCCTCTGGCCCTGGGTGTGCTGTCCCGGGGAGGGAATGCTGTGACCTGGAATCAGTCCTGGGGGGTGTGAGCTGTTATAAAAGCCCAGTCCCTCCTCCTTGCTTTGGTTTCCAGTTTTGTGATATGATCTCTCTCACTTTCTTCCACAAACCTTTTCTTCATCAACAACCTACCTCAGGCATTTAGTTACAGTAGTGAAAAACAGACAAATACAATATTGTTGTTTTTATTTCCTGCTCAATCCCAAGACTCTTCTTTCCTGGTTATCCCAGGATAACAGGGACTAAATCCTCCAGCAGCTACCGAAAAGGGGCAGGAAGGGAGGTGAAGTTTTGGAAAAGTCATGTCTAAATAATATCTCTAATATACTGTTTTACTTAAATAACAATTACACAATTCTGGGTTGGGAATTAATTTCCTGTGGAAATTTGGAAACATCCATCCACTGTCTTGTAGCTTCTCATATTGCTTTTGAGAAACTCAATGCCACTGTGCTCTCTGATCTTCTGCATGTGGACTTTCCATGTTCCTCAATCTGGTTTTGAATCCCTGGGTTCCAGGGATCTTCCTGCCTCAGCTTTCCAAGTAGCTGGGACTATAAGCCAGTGCCTCCATGCCAGGATGATAGCTGGAATTCATGATGAGTCCTGAAGTGTGGTCCTTTGCTCACTGTGCTGGGTCTTCCTGATAAACTCCTCCTTTAATACAGAAACATCTTTGGTTCTTGAAGCTTCTTCTGAATAATTTCTCTCCTTCATTTCTTTTCTTTCTTTTTCCTTGAGTTGCTGAGGTACATGCTGGTCCTCCTACACCAATTTGCTCATCCTCTTATCTTTTCTGTTCTATTTTCCATCTCTCAAAAGTCCTTCTATTCTCCTTGCCAGCTCTTCCACTTGTATTAAAATGTTTACTTTTGTTATCACAGTTGTAATATCCAAAAGCTTTTTTTTCAGTACCTAGGATTGAACTCAGAACTTTGTGCTTACAAGCCAGGTGCAGTGCCACGGGGCTAAATCCAAGCCCCACCACCCCCTTTTTGTGAGACAGAGTCTTGCTTAATTGCCTGGGTGGAATTCAACTTGTGATCCTCCTGCCTCAGCCTACCAAATATTAGAATTATGGGCTTGCCCCACCATGCTTGGCTCCCTCTCTTTAAAAAAAAAAAACTGCTGGGTTCCTTCATTCTGTCTGTCTGTTTGGGTCACTGTCTTGCATCCTAGGTCTCTGTCTTGGCCCACAAGGGATGATCCTTGCCTCTCTGGCCAAGTTTAAGAGTGGGGCAGTGAACCTGTCACTGCAGAGCAAATATGACAGGCAAGTGGTCTCACTGTGAAGCAACAGAGAGAGAAGTCAGCTGTCCCATGGGTCCCCTCCATGCTGCTACTGAGGATCCTTTTTCCTTTTCCCATAGTGTCAGTCTCCTCAGAGAGGTCTCCAAGGCCCTGCCTGGTGTCTGGGCATCATCCTGGCTGCCATGCTGTCTGGTCAGTGTGTGAGCTTTCAGATGAACCCTCCTTTTCTCCACAGAGCGCTACCCTCTGTCTTTGTCACAGCCCTCATGGCCTCCCTGACCCAGGCCGGGGATGGGCCCAGGCCAGCTCAACGGGACACTGCCTACAGGAAGCCCACTGTCTCCTGCTGGTGGATCAGGGAGCTGTGTTGTGGGCTGAGGGTGACCTTTAACATACACCTTCACCAGGGCGTCCTGCTTCCAGCCCCCCTGTACCCCACCTTTGGAACAAGTCACAGGTGCACCCCTCAGCCCACAGCCCTCCTCCCTAGGGCAGCAGCAGCTGCATCCTCTTGGGAGCCTGGCTGAGGTCTAATTTGGTTTCCTTTACTTGCTCCTAGCACAAGTTTGGATCACTCTTCCTTGGGGTATGACAGTCCCCTCTGGTTGGAAAGACCAGGAGGTGGGCTTTTTCCAAACGCTTAATGTAGTTGCAAAACAATGTTCCTTCTATCTCCCCGCAGTGTTGCTCCCACCCCCAACCTACCTGTCTAGGACTGGCTGAGAAAGACCTCCAGTAACAGCTCCTCAGAATGGCAGATCAAAGGCGCATTGGCATCAGTGAGTGTCATCCCACGTGCCTGTTTCTGAGCTCCTTAGATGTTGGAAGGAAGGAAGGAAGAAAGGAAAAGGGAAGGGAAGGGAGGAGAGGGGAGGGGGAGGAAGGAAGGGAGAGAAAGAAAGAAAGATGTGTTAAAACCAGAGACTCTGAGAGACCTTCTGCCCACTCTAGGACTGGTTTTTAGCCCAAAAGCACCAGCTTTGCCGGGTTTCCCTTCTGGTAAGCCAATCCCATTCTGCTCCATCAGCCCTTCTCACCCCCTGCCTCGATGCCACCCCAGCCTGCCTGGATGGCACCAAAGCAAACCCCAGGAGTCTCCGGAGCCTGAGCAGGGATGCACACACACAGAGGACTCGCGCTGCTTCTCAGAGCTATTTCTGTTTTGTTTGGGAAAGCAAAGCGGCCAATTTCAGCCATGGCTGCAGAAAGTAGGTTCCTGAACCTGAGAGCTCTGTCCCCCTGTGATCTGTCTTCAAAGCCAGGTCTAAAGGCACATTCAGCCCTATTGGGCTGGAGATGGGAAGTGCCAGGGGAGGGGCTACTGCTCCAGTCACCACCGGGGGAAGCTGGGAGATAATCTGACCCCAGAGTGGGAAGAAACGACTGGAGAGCTGCGGCCAGCAGGGCGAATCCCAGGAGGAAGAGTCACCCCTTCTCCCAGCCCGGGTCACGGTGGACTTCAGCCTGGAGCCCACCGGAAGAGGTGGGTGTGGCGGGGACGATTTTGCAGGGGTCACCCTGGGGTCCCGCTGCCGAGCCCAGGAGGGAGGTGGTGCCTCGGCACCGCCAGGGCTTTCCAAGGTGCTGCAGGCAGAGGCACAGCCGGCGCCCAGGGCCAAGGAGGACACAACTTCTGTTCTCCGAGCAGGCACCGGGAGGAGGGCCAGGGCTTTCCAATGTGCTGCAGGCAGAGGCACAGCCGGCGCCCAGGGCCAAGGAGGACACAACTTCTGTTCTCCGAGCAGGCACCGGGAGGAGGGCCAGGGCTTTCCAATGTGCTGCAGGCAGAGGCACAGCCGGCGCCCAGGGCCAAGGAGGACACAACTTCTGTTCTCCGAGCAGCAGGAAGGGACGGCGCAGCACTGGAGACAGCAAGACAACAGCCAAAGACAAAGCAGAAGCCCGGAGGAGACCGAGAGAGGAGGCAAGGGAAGAATCCGTCCTCGGGATTCAGGTCAGGAAATCGGGAGGCAGGGCCGAATCCACAAGAGGCCTCCGGGCCCTGCTGGTCCTCCCCCAGTCCCTTTAGGTTCAAGGACAGAGCTCCGGAGGCCACCGCCGCGGAGGACAGAGCGACAGGGCTCGCGATGCTCGTCCGGAACCCGGGCAGGGGAGGGGAGGGCTGCACCAAACTGCTGGGTGCCGAGAATGAACAGCACGTCCCAGACTGGGCCCTGCTCACCCCACCACGGGCGGTGGCAGAGACTTCGGGATCGACTCCGAGGCACAAAAGGGCGCAGGCCGCTCTGGAGAGCATCGCAGCCCGGCCCGGGACCAGCGCAACGCGACCCCCCTGCC